ACACACAAAACTCAAACAAATCGAACTAAAAAGGTGATATTCGTAATCAGCACAAAATTCTGCATCGGATGATGTGTCTTTCAAGGAAAAATGAAGAGTGCTTGATTTTTGAATTAGCGGCACCTTAATTTTGTAACACTTTGAAACGCTTAAACAAAAAGTGCAGTTGTATATAGTATGTCACAATCAAGAAAGAATATTAATATCTAATAGAATCGCTATGGATTGAAAGATAATATATATATTTACATAAAAACTAGAAATGATAAATTCCTATGATGTTACTGTTATTATTCGAAATTATAGATCAACCAAATTTAGGCTTTTTGAGAGGTCATATGCTCTCATTTGAACACTTTACTTGATGACTATAGAGTGAAGCGCATAGCGTCTTTACTTTGATTGAGTCAGTGTCTCAGTGTTGCAGTGTCAGTGTAATCAGTTTCGGTGAAAACCGACGAGAGTATAAGTCAGTGTCTCAGTGACGTCAGTGCCAGTGTAGTCACAGTGTTAGTGAACACCGATGAGAGTAGAACTAGTGTTGCACTGGCGTCAGTGTCGGTGGTTTCGGTGCCAGTATTTCAGTGTTTCACACTGACACTGCACATCCCTACTGCTACTCACTTAGTGTCAACTATAAAAGTAATTATCTTTGAATCCATTATATGTGTAAAGATAAAACTTTCAGAAAATGAATAAGTAATAGTCATTATTCATTTTCCAAAAATTTCAGCTTGATCCGTCTGGCGCAAAAAAAGTCGATTTTTCAACCTCTCTCATAATGAAAGCGCGTAGTGTAATATAAAGCTAAAACGTTTCCGGACACCCTCTAGAGATCTCAAGGACGCTCGAATGATAGCTTATCTATATTCTATAAGTTTTCTTATCCGTAGACAGGTCTTTTTTTCTGTTATTAAATTTAGACTGATTTCTGCTGACATCTGTCTCAGAACTAGAGAAAAAGTGTGCTTAGCTTTATTTTCTCTCTGCATCAATACATATTTCTGTTAATCTCTCTGAATATTTTCTCTGGTATTTAAAAATATTTTCTATTTTTTTCCCCTTGTGATATCCAAGAAATATCTGACAGCCATTTTTCCGTATTTTGTGAACTGACAGATTCATAGACAACTATTCTGTAGCAAGGTGGATAGATTAGGTCAAAAATTTTAAATTTATATATAGAAAGAAAAAGGTAACGCTCGTCTCCACTCGCTCGGTCCCTTGACTTTATTAAGTTGCATCTGCGCAAGCGAGCGTCCTTTCGTGACTTTTAAATCGAACACAATGCTCACGCCTCCCTTCCTTCGCCTAACTAAGGTATCTTCTGGATTTTTGTTCATTTTTTATGTATAAGGTTCGTAGTCTGATATTAATATATAAATCAAGAATATCTAGAGGTCTAAACATAATTCTGAATTCAAAATGATGCTCACGCCTCCCTTCGGTCGGCGCTCGCTGGAAACCTGCCTAAGCATCTTTGGGATTTTTTTCTGTTTTCATGTGTAAGGTTCGTAAACTAATATAAATAAAGCAAAAATCTCAAAAGATCTAAAACTATTTGAATTCCAAACAATGCTCACGCTTTCCTTCTGTCGGCGTTCGCAACTAGTATAGATGAGAAACGCGATGAACTTCTCTGATCCCGCCAAAAAACCATCTAATGTAATATAAAGTTAAAAGGTTTTCTGCGCACCCTCTGCAGATCCCAAGGAGGTTGGACGTATGTCTAATCGATTTGTTATAATAGATTACCTATACACTATCAATTTTATTACCCGTAGACCACTTTTTTTTATTGTCACAGTTGACTGCTATCTGGCGACATCTACTGCCGGTCCACAGAAAACGGTTGCTGAACTGTTCACCTCTTTGCATCAGTAAATATTTCAGATGATCTCTTCGAATATTTTCTCTCTTATGTAAAAAATAATTTTCTACTGTTGTCTCTTGTGATTCGCTTATCCATAGAATATCTGACAGCCATTTTTCCGTATTTTGCGCACACACACACAGACAACCACTTTGTAAGACCCTAGACTAAAGTCAAGGGAATGAAAGAAAGGAACACCACCCTTATTCTTGTCGCTCTTTCTCATAATATAACTATTGTTTGGGTACTTCTTTAGATGGATAACACCAATGCTAATAATAATAAAGATTCGAAACCTTTTGGTAAAAAAAGAGCACGTGGTAGTCGAGGTAAACGAATTCAATCAAAAAACACAGAAAAAGAAACAGAAACAATCATGGAAACACATAAGCCACCCGTAAAAAATGACAATGATGAAATTAGTTATGATAATAGAAATCAGATACTGAATTCTGAATTGGTGAGAATACAGATTGAAGATTCGATCAAATAATTATCGTTTCGATACTTCATTTAGAAATTCACAGATTATAGCAAACAAAACTCAACAATTAATTCTAATACATTCGGCGAGAAAGTGAGTTATCGCAAGATAATCAGTGTACTAAACTCGTAGTCAACGTTATAGGAACAAACACTTCCTCAAAACGATATTAATATTCCGTCATTGACATCGCTTTCGTTTCCGCGTCCTCCTCAACCTTATTTGCTTCGGCCATTTCGAGAACAAACAGGTAAACAAAGAAGAGATTTGTCTGTATTATTTTTAAAATTATCTAATTTAGTTCCTTTGCCACCATTCACTCATGGTTCAGTACAGCCACTATTCACTCATGGTTCAATACAGCCACTATTCACTCATGGTTCAATACAGCCACTTTTTCGATTACCACAGCAAACAGTAAGATTTTCTTATTTCTTGTGATCACAAAGAAATACATTTTATTCTATAGGCAAAAATTGGTGTGATAGTTGAGAATCCAAAACCGGTACCAAGGGATAATAAAATGCAACAAAAACATCCTCGAGTTCCAGTATTGTTTCCAAAGACGGACAATGTGTTATTATCATCCGAACTAACATTAGATAATTTTTTAGACAATACTCAGTCAGATAGAAACAATCCAAAAACTGAAGGAGGTAGAACATAAAATAACTACAACCGTTTATGTTTATATATTTGTTCTTGAATTTTGTTTAGAAACTACAAAAAAAACAGTACAAGAAAATAAAAACCAAACACCATCAGCATCGAAAGGTAGAGATTCACTTGGAAAATCTGTGATATTTATAATTCAATGCGTTTCATAGGTATTAATGACGGTATCTTTAAAATGATAATAAGAAAGAAACTAGAATTTACTTGTTTACTATTAAATACTATGTCATTCATTCTTCTTCCCTATTTTTACCACTCCCTGAGTAATCTACGAACGCTACAAAAGATGAAGAACAGCTATAGTCAGTTTTTAAAGGTATCCTACTGGAAAATTTCATCGGACAGACGCGCTTTTTATTCATTTTTTCTTAAAAAATTTGCACTTGCACGCGCTTTAAACGCGTCTGTACAATGACATTTTCCAATGGGACGTTAGTTCACATCCAACAGGGCACGTTAAAACTGATGGCTAAAGTATTAAAACGCAAGGATGTTCTTGTATAATACTTTTTAGAGAAAAATAAGATTATTAAACCGTTTCTGAATGCTGTTTTTTCCTTCAAACACCCTCACAAAGTCAACCATTTAAATAGTAAACATGAAAAATTTATTTGGTGTTATTCAATTCGCAAGTACAGACTGTTAATCTTCCTCTTATTCTTTTAGCACAATCTGGACAACTGACTACAATGGAATCAGGCATCCGACAGGAATTAATATCGAAAAGTAAGAAAAGTATAACATATGTTTGTTTTCATCGCTATGTAAATTCTAAACAGCCAAAGAAGCCGTGCTTTTTGTCAGCACTATTTTGATGTTACTGTTATTTTTCAAGAAGAAAAATGGCTTAGTCCATATGATACCTACCATCATTACATCGACTTTTGGTACAAACAATGAGACAGACATCATCGGAAGTAGTTTTGTATGCTGAATCCAATGGCACAAATCGCAGGTTTCTATCTAACTAAGAAAAACAGTTATGTGCGAAATACTCTCTCAGCGGAAATGAGTATTTTTCGCTATTTTCAAGCAGATTTCATCTAATTTGTAAACGCTACCGAGATCACATTCCCTAACGTAGAATCTTGAGTCTAGTCTCAAATGAACGATCTCGTCGAGTTCTATCCAAATCTTCAAAGAAAATTGAGGTACCACCTCGGGACCTTGAAATACAAGTTTCTGAAAAATCCGATTTTCTAGAAAACTTAGTAACACTGAACTTTCTTTCGCAATATTTTCAATCACATTAGATAACGCATTCAATTCTCCACAAAATCAGATGTTGACCAACTTTCTACGATCTTGGACGACGAGTTACAGGCTTTTTAATATTACGAATATAAATTTCTCAAAGATTTTCGTTTAATGCTGAATTTTCGATCTATATCGTATTTTCTATGGCACTTTCGGACAGAACATCGTAGAAACTTGGCCAACATCTCATTTTCTAGAGAATTGAACGTGCTGTGTAATGATATAATTGAAAATGTCGTGAAGAAAATTTTAGTGTCACTAAGTTTTCTAGAAAACTGGATTTTTCAGAAACTTCTATCTCAAACTCCTGGCATGGTACCTCAATTTTCTTTGAATATTTGGATAGAACTCGACGAGATCGTTCATTTGAGACTAAACTCAAGTTTCTACGTTAGGGAATGTGGCCTCGGTAGTGTTTACAAGTTGGGTGAAATCTGCTTGAAAAAACACATTACAAACAGCAAAAAATGCTCATTTTCATTGAGAGAGCATTTTGAACATAACTGTTATTCCTTGTCAGATAGAAGCCTGTGGTTTTCATCATTGGATTCAGCATACAAAAACGTGTATCTCGTCGTTTGTGTCAAAAGTCGATGTATGTATCATATAGATTAAGAAGAGTTAAAAATGAGGCAAAATTTGATTACACTGAAAATCCATCAGATAGGTTTGTCTTAGGAAGTGGCATTCTTATGAAGGTTTTCTGTCGATACTTTTTTTTGAATCGATGTAGTGGCGGGTCCAACCCACGAGCGGGCTGCTCGTACGTTTTAACCAAAACACTGTTTTTTTCCAGTAATAATTTTTAGATTAATTTGTGTCGGTGACGATTGCATGTACCAAAGAATAATTCTGGATCTGTCACTGAATCGATGCACACTTTCACTGCCTAATTTTCTTTTTTTGAACGTCGCAGTTGATTATTTTCTAGAGATATGATGATTAAGAATGATTGTGTTCAGTAGAAAAATATTGTGAGTTCTTAGGAAAAAAGAAAGAGAAAATAACATGAGTAGGCTTATTGATCAGGGGCGGGGGTGACTCCCTAAATAACATTTTGGACATTCCGGCAAAATCTTTGACATTTTTCCATAAGCAACTTTCTGCGAAGCACAATTTTTATCTCCTCCAATCGCTCAGAACAATCGGAAACCCTGAACATGAGGCAAAAATTCAATATGACAACTTTATTTGCAACTTGCCGCTCTGTTTTAACAAATAATTTGTAGGTTTCGCTATCGAACTGAGAAACGGACAATTGTATTTTGTTGTTGTAAAAACAAAATGGTGGAAAACGTCTAAGGCAGCGTTCTTTTCTCGAGATGAGTGAACTCGCTACAACTGCTTCGTCGCCAAACATTAGATCCGGTTGAAAAACCCTCAGCGTGCTGATAACACCTTTTTTCCCCGTGCTATTTAAGTTTAATTATCAAAAAGCATGTTTTTCATGTCGTTTCTGCTAGCTTCGAACCATCAAGTCAAAGTCGTTAACCAAGGCCAGGCAGCTTCGAATGGTACGTATATTTTTGTCGGAAAACGTTTCCTTTATTTTGTTTTCGTTTAGTATCAATTAAACACCAAGCGTCTAGTGAATCTGAACCAGCCACTCCAACACCATCTAAATTTCCTGTAATCGAAGCAAAAATTGTTGAAATAATTTTAACAATTCATACTCGTGGTGAACATGTTTCATGCGAGAAAGTTCAACGAGAATTATTCAAACAATGTCAAGTACAAGATTGGCGACAGTTACGCGTTTATCGACCTCATTTTGAGATCAAAGCACTATCAAATCTATCAGATAAATTGAAGGATATAAAGTTGTACATGCAAATATTTGAAAATGTCTACATTCTCTGTACACTACACGACCTTGGTAAAATGTTATAATCTCTTCATTTCTTTCTCTCTCTAATTATTCACTTTTCTAGACGAATTAATATCTCGATTTATGAAAATATCTAAATATGAAGATTTATTATTGGGTCCACTTGAATTAAATCCTGATATTCAACGCGTATTCAAATTTCAAGGCGTTGGCATACCAAAATTAACAAGCGAAAAAGTTATTGAATTATTTTCATCATTTATCGATAATCACCAAACACAAGGCAACAGACGAAATAAACATCAAAAAGAAGCGTTTGAATTTGATGAATTTCTAGATGTATTAGTCAAAGAAATGAATGTACAAACAAAAGAGCAATTGGGTTTATTCTGTCGATCATTTCCATTTCTTTTACAGGTACGTATTATAATTAATCAGCCAGATTTTTTTGTTCTCCAATAGCGTAGATCAAACCGAGTATTCGTAAAATAAGTTAACACCTACATCAAAATTTAGAATCTGATATAGCAGATAGAGGAGCTTGTTGAGTTAATTGTACTAACATAACATCAAAAATCGGGTGATCCATAATGAATCTGTCACAGGGTATTTGGCTCATATCTCAGTTGGATTTTATCCCCTAGGCTTTATTGTTTTTTTAAAAGATACGCCGTAAAATTCTCTACAAAATATATACTAAACCTTCTTTATGTGTACCGTAAAGGTAAAAGAATATAGAAGAAATACTGCGAAGTTTCAATCTCAATTACTTTACAACTCGAAAGACAAGAAAAACAAATTTATCTTGAACACAGTGCTATATGTCATAGTCATCAATCAGAGCGTAAGTTCTGGTGTTCCGAATGTCATCTTTCTTTTCGTTTATCGGAGTAGAGCCCTGCAGGTTACGACTTTTTGACAACCTATAATCTAACCTATACCAATTTTCACAACCTACCTAACCTAACCTACGAAACTCGTAACCTAAACCTAGCCTAACCTATTAATGTTTTTTGTAATCTAACCTAGGTTAACCTAACACAACCTTTTGCAATTTCTTCCCAAAATCTGGTTTCAGAAGCCTAAACTTCAGCTTTGTTCTATATCGTTATTGTTTTTTATCTAAACACCGTCTGAAAGGTAAGCTTATACAAAATAAATCATATTTTACATGAATATAGAAATGAATCGGTTGAGTCTTTTATTCTTTAATGCAATATTTGGAAAATAGCTTTCTGAGTAAGGAGACCTTCTTAAGAGTAGACTAGAATTTCACGTTAAGCTCTCGATGCTATGAAGGTTCTGTTATTGTTGTGTATTTGCCACCTATTTTTAGAAAACGGAAGTTTTTTCTCTGTACTTCCTTTTTTGATTGTTCTATTTTTCCGTTTAAAAATAGTTCAGTTTAAACTAGAGAACCTCAATCTGAAATTCATCCTCAATTAATAAAATTCCACCCGAACTACGCTTTATTATTCAAAGTGTTGACTGTTTTAATGTGGTCGTTCGGTTTTTTTCGTTTAGGTTAAAAATAGGTTATCGGTGGCGTAACCTACAACCTAACCTATAAAAAATTTCATAACCGAAACCTAACCTAACCTTTAGGTCAGGTTAGGCTAGGTTTAACCTACAGGGTTCTATATCAGAGGTTCGGTTTAAACGTATTTTTCTGACACAAAAGGCGCTTGTAATAAAATTTAACAAAAAAAAGGGAAATTTTTGTCTTTTTCGCCGTGACACAGAAAAAGAAGAGAAACTATTGGATTATCTCTGTACGAATGTAACAACAAAAGAAGTTTTTTTACTTTGAGATAAGGCAAACCCAACCTCCAAATGTTTGATTTTGATCGAGTTATCAAAGTTTTCCCAAACTGTACCATAACTGCGGTTGGAAAATGCTGATTTTGGGTAAAATCGATAAAAGAAAAAAACTTCTCCCACAAACCAATTATGGTTACGAAGAGTTTTAAATATAGACACTTGATAGAACTTTTTAAAAACTATCAAATGGTCATCTTCTTGGTTTTTATTTTTCTCAAAATATGAAGGACTAAAATTGAAAAAATTGTTTTTTGGGTTGTAAAATAATTGAAATTGAAGCTTCGCAGTATTTCTTCTATATTCCGTTATCTTTATGGTACATAAAAAAGGTTTAGTATATATTTTATAGAGAATTTCGGCGCATCTTTTAAGAAAACAATCAAAGCCCAGGGAATAAAATCCAACTGAGATATGAGCGAAATACTAAGTGACAGATTCATTATGGACCACCCGATAGTATTCGAATGAGGTTAGTTAATAATGCCACCTATGAACAATTGAAGCCTAGTTAACGACATTCACTAACACACCACAAAATATCTGGCGCTACTGTCACTTTGTAACGTAGCAATATAAACGTAATCCAACGTCTAGAATGGAGTAGGCACACCTACCCGTGTCGCGTTCTTTTTCGAAATACCGCCAGTTTTCTTAAAAAAACGAGACAGGAGTAGTATTCTTTCTTGGATACTAGTGACTAGACCATGAATAAGTAAGTGTAATATTTGATGTTATGTAATCAGCTCAACAAATTCTGTCTATCTGTTGTATCAAATTCTAATTCGAAACTCTTAAGTGTAAGTGTTAATATATTTTAGGCATGCACCATTTCAGGCATGTTAGGGCTTCTACGAAAACTGTTATAAATTGCTTATAAAGAAATACTCAGAGTCGCGGAGTATCTTATTTTGTCGAGAAATGTTTGTTCACCAAAACTCAGCTATGGAAAAACAATTCAAGTTATTTCTAACAAAAATGTGAGCATTCTAAAATGCACTAAAGATAGAAGAAAAAAAATATTCGAACAGTTTTTTTTCTGAGTTTAGTGCATTTTATAATGTTCATATTTGTATTACAGATAATTTTGAAATTTTTCTACTTATATGGAATTGTAGTTCAAACATTTCTCTACAAAATGAGACGCCTCGCGACTCTGAGTAATTCTTTGCAGGCAGTTTATAACAGTTTTTGTAGAAGCCCTAACACCAGGTTTTTAACTGGTGTATGCCTAATATATTTTATAAATATTCAACTCGATCAATATTTCTGTAGATAGAATAGAGTTCAGAGCCTCTCTATCTTAAATAAGTAGAGTTTTCCTAAATAACTGTAACTTATTCAGAATGAATCATACTGAGATACCTGTTTTGGAGAGAAAAAAACTTTGTTTTGAAAATAGTTCAAGTTATTTTAGAAAAATATTTACACTACATAGTTTTATCTGTTTTTCTTTTGTAATTATTTTAAACAGCTTTCAAAAATTGTATTATGAATTGAATACATTTGCAAAAAAAAAATCTACATCAAAGATGACTATAAGTTTTTCACCTCAAAACGGGATATGTATGAGCTTGTACAATAAGACTTGCTCTGTCCAGT